GCTCAGTATTTAGCACAAACCCTCGGAGTTGTGCTCGTTTTGCGCAGCTGCGCGTGATTGGGCTCGTGCCGCTGCGCTGCTTTCTGCTCAGCTGTGACTTTGTGCGACGGGAGTTCCGCTTCACTCTTTGGGTTTTCACACAGGTCGGTGTTTTTGCTTTTTTTATTTAAGTGTTATAAAGTGAGGAACAGGTACTAGTGCTGAGCAAACCGGTTCATCACTTGGATTAAATAAAACGAGCTCATTCATTCAAAGCTTCGTTACAGCGACATCTAGTGGCCAAATAGGAAACGTCAAAACAAAGCTGATCCCTCTGACTGGAACTGGGTTAGTTGTGCACTCTTGCAAATACTTGACTGTTTGTGAGTTGATTTTGTAAATGTATGTGAAGTTGTTGTGTTTGGAGGAACAGAGGATGTGCTGGACTGATTGTTCTTGTCTAAAAATAACTTCAAATCATTAGTTTCTCCTGTGCAATGCAGTCAGAAGGTAATGCTTAGTTTTCTTCTGACTCCATGTTCAGTTTTTTCCTCTTTTTTTTTTTTCCATGAGGTTTTTTCTTTTTTGTTTCCTTTGGTTTGAAAGAGTCTGCCTGCTGTGTTCAGTGGGCCTGTGGTATTTCACCATCTCATTCGCTCAGTCTGACTCATTCCCTTATTTCCTCCAGATGTGCAGCACTTTTTGTTTCCTGACAGCACAGGATTGTGACATTTCTGCCCTTGCTCTGCAGTTATTCTGCTGACGGATTAAAACGTATTCCTGTGTTCGTCACTCACATGTCGTGTTGTGACACTAAAGCAGTGCTCTTAAAAAAGGTCCAACGTTTTGCTCGTCCTAGAAGTTGCAGCTGCCTCTTTGGAAGCGGCAGTTAAAGCGTAACAGTTTAACTCTGAGGTGCAGCAAAGTGCTGACTTTACAGCAGTTTTACGAGCCTCAGGTTGATGGACAGGAACAGTCATGTGTTTGGCTTGTGCAAGTAGATCATTGAGCCAAGAAGTCCCACAACAAAATCAGTGTGGCCTGCAGTGGTTTTAAATGACAGGTTTTTTTTCTCCAAACATTTGGGGATGGGGGGTGCTGCTAGTTGAACCTGTTCAAAAGCTCCTGTGATCCAGAGTTTTGCAGAACTTCTGTAGCCTTGGGGCTATAGCCCCTAATTTACAGGAATAAAAAGCCCAGTTTTATTTGTAATTTTTATTAAAGGTCAAATTTATAATTTATCTGATCACCTAAATTACTGGAGACGGATTTGGATGACTGGATAACTCTTAACGTAAAAAAAAAACGAAGGGGTCTAAACTCCAAGAAATGGGGTTATTAAGACCAACGAGATGGAGTCATGAATAATCAGGTGTCGCTCATTTCGAGGTAATTGGCACAAAATTGAAGGTGTGCCTCAGGTATCCCAATCTGTACCTCCTTTCTTTGTATACCCTTTTGATATTTTAGATTGTATGACTAGAAGCTTTCTAATGTGCTACGTAGAACCTACCACCACAAAGAGCCTCATTAGCAAAAAGATGGTGGCCAACCGACTACGTAGACACACATTCAGTTAATTTTCCAGATATTGAGCTAAAATTTGTTATAGTGGCTAAGAGTTATTCCTATAGACTTGTATTATAAAACTGTATGACCGTCTCCACCTTATCTTGTTGGGAACAAATTTCAGGAATAAAGAAGCTTCCACATTGTATTTTTGGGACCAGTATACACATGACTGATGGGACTTTAGGTTCTACGTGGTGGTGGTGTTGCCACATGAGATTTCGCTGCAGCATAAAATGGCAAATTGCACCTAAATTTATTGAAAAATTCATTTCATTCTTCTTGTTTACATGGAGGGTAACTATTTAAAACCTGCACTGGGAGCACCCTGTATGGAATCTAATAGTGTATTCCACGTCCATGGCTATTCTCAACATTCTAACAAGTTGTGCAGGATTGTTGTTTAAAATGTATTTATCAACTATATGGAGTCAACTCTGTCGGCAAAATGTTTCATAAATGTCGACACATCTAAAGTGAGATGGACATCGCAGCTAAACTACCATAAACACAAAAATTACATTAATTTTTACACACATTGTGCTATTATTTGGTTTTAGTAATGGTAAATGGACTGTACTTGTATAGCACCTTTCTTTCTTAACGAAACACTCTAAGCTCTTTACAACACAATCTGTGTCCTCCATTTATTAATTCGTACAGCACTCTACTAGATCTCTACAAAAGATTAATCAGAGCTTTATCATTCATACACCGATGGGACACACTTGGAAGCAATGAGGGGTTCAGTGTCTTGCCCAGGGACAGTTCAGCATGTGACTGCTGGTGGAATTGAGCCCCATCTGTTGCATTGAAGGACGACTGCTCAAACCACTCAGCCACAGCCGCCCAAGTAGTAGCTAGTAGTAAAACGAAACAGATGTCTTTAAATATTACACAATGCACAGTCTAAAGCTTTGACATCAATTGTTGAAGCCCATTCAGTTAAATGTTGCTGTCACACCTAATCAACATGAGCAAACTCTAAACCAGCTGACTAACCTCAGAGTATTCGAGACTTTACAAATAGAATATTTATCTGTTAAAAAGCAAAATACTAGATATGTGTTTAAGCTTTCAGAAAATTTCTGGATATCCAGAAATGTATATCAATATGTTTTAAAGTCAACCTAATTCAAGATGGCTGCCAGAACCAACTCATCAATGTAAACACAAAATGGTTCTAAATAAATTTGACCAATATTGAGCTAAAATGGTGTGAAGTAACTGAGTTATGCCCAACGTACACTCTGAACATGACTGCACGTATTGGTTTCAAGGTTCCATTTTCTCAACATAACATGATCTTAATTCGCAACTCTTATGAATGATGGTGTGCGACTTCTAGTACTTTAACTGTACACTGACTCTAAAACTTGATTCTAAAAATTAGACTTAATAAAGATTGATATGAGCGACGCATAATTTTAAAGCCTCGTTTCTGTCCTTGCTTACCTGGGCATCACGCGAGCTTTTTGCTCTGTTAGCGTAAGATTAACCTCATAACTGCTCAACCTTTGCCCCTTCACAACCTTCGCTCTGCTCAGCAGTACTCTCTCTTCTGCTGGCGCTGTGAGCAGAGCTGAACCTGAAGGTACGTCTGTGACTGGGCAGAGTAGGACTTGTGCTGGTTGGGTTCCAGTACTTATGCAGGCCAGGGGAGTTTTTTCTATCCCATTTCTTTTTCCATTGAGCTGAATGCTTGTGATTGTCGTCCGCTTCCAGTGACTCATTGATGGTGTTTCTTGGTGTGATGTGTTCCTCTAATTACAGTTGGACAGAAGTGAGCTCTGGCTGAAGTGGAAACCTTCATAAAGTTTCTGCTTCATGCATTCTCAGTTTTTTTTTTCTTTTCCACTGAGGCTATAGTGCTAGACTTGAAAATGATTTGAGGAATGGTTCCAGGAGCCGTCAAGTTTGTGAAGATGCTGCTGATCTCCTAATTAAACAATTTTATTGCTCTGGATCACATGTTTACACTGTGATTCACAAGATTTGTTTCCTGTTCGGGCGGCTGTGGCTGAGTGGTTAGAGCAGTCGTCCTCCAATGCAAGAGTTGGGGGTTTGATTCCACCAGCTGAAGTTTCCCTGTGCAAGACATTGAACCCCTCATTGCCTCAGATGTGTGTCCCATCGGTGTACGGATGTGATAAAGCACCGATTAGTCCCTTTAGAATTTGTGTTAGGATAATTTAATATTATCCTAGTAATAGCTCTTTAAATAAATATGCCACACAGGAGAGGTAGATAATTTTCTTAATCCTACGTTTAATCTTGCAAGATGGAATAGAGGTTGAAATACAAGCAGGCAAGATTTTTAGATGACACTTCGTCTCCAAGTCTGTTCACCGAGAGCATGAGTCTTTTTTTATAATGGTTATTGGACAACCCCAAGTTCAGACAATTCCTGCAGCCTCTTTGCTTTGGCTTGAGTTCTGAGGTGAAAGGCTCCAGACTCCACTTTGCAAAGACAAAACGACTCCACGCACACACATGGTTATATAAGTTGGTGAAAAACATCTGACCTTTAGATCTCCCAACAATTTGTTCACTATATTTGTATAGATCTAGTAGAGAGTGCTGTATGAATGGGTGAATGAGGACACAGATTGTGTTGTAAAGAACTTTGAATATCTTGACAAGATAGAAATGTGCTATACAAGTCCATTTACCATTCTTGAATGGTTAATATTCACTGAATATCTAAGAATTGTAATGAGTATAAGCAAGTTTGCCATCTTATCTAAAGCCAAAAGTTTCCTAAAACTTAAAAGGTTGTCAGATTGTGGTCTTAAGTCCTGTATTTTATTGGTATATTTTATCCGACCTTGCTTCTACTTCTGATTGATCGTTGTAAACCATTCCTCTGTGTTGTTTAAATAATTTAAAAGTTAAGCTCTTTTTGCAGTAACGGATTTTTCCAGTCTCATATTTTGCAGGTTTATCAGAGGTTAAATGTGTAGATCAGGACTACTCAGCTGAACTGTTAATAAAAGCCAATATCTCGGGGACATAATGATGTTATCATTGTATGTTCCCATACAATGGTGAAATGGGATCTATGCATTTAACCCATCCACCCCCAGGTGGTGCAGTGGGCAGCTATTGAAGGCGTCTGGGGAGCATTTGGGGATAAGGTGTGCTGCTCAAGAGACTCCATGATATGTGCAATGACTGGGGATCAAACCTGGGACTTTCGGGCCCTGAGCCAGCTGTCCTGCCTCTGCACCATCTCGGCCTCTTTGTTTTATAGTTTACAATCTAGTTTTATTTGCAAATTAACCCATTGGTGGGTCAAACTGAGCTCACCTGTGGGCCTGATTTGGCCCCTGGGCCACCACTTGAATAGTCCTGGGATAGATTTCTGTCAGTGGTGTTTGTATGTAAAGTTTTTTGACACTGATGCTGTTCTGTTCACATCTTTGTGTTCCAGTCAAACACCAGAAGCATGTGTGGGTGTTGAGTTGTACGTTCAGTCGACATCTCTGCCCCAGAACACGGCGCTGCTGTCTGCTCTACCTCCGAGTGTCACTTGTCCCGTGAGGTTCACCCCCTCCCCCACACACCATGTCTGCCGTGGTGGAGAACAGTGTCCCGGCGTCTGCTGACCCCACACCCCTACCTACAGTCTCCACCTCAAACACCCCGCCCAGCTCCCCAGCCTCCAAGGCCCCGTTCAAGAAGGAGAAAAAGAAAGGTGAGTTTTAAAAAGTTCCCTGTGGTAACAAGAATCTGGACGGTTGACCCTCTGTCCACAAACACACTCACATCCCCCAAAAAGTTTCAGCAGAACCAAATTAAGTGAACTTAAAACGTAGAGTAAACTTTTCATAAATGAATGAACTCTGAACCAGTATTTAAAGATTTGACTGTTCCTGTCTGATTTTTATTCCACTGGTCTGTTTTACACGTTTAGCCTATAAATGGTTTTCTCCATTTTTAATACCTGGATATGAAATAATTAGAACAAGCAGATTTATTGTCTGTTGTGAACATATTTTACCACCAGGTGAAGGTTCTTACCGTTTATCAGTTGTCTTTGCTTTTAAAGGGTGCACAAATTGTGAAAACAGTTTGTTGGATGCGTCTCAAAGATCTCACACCAGAAGTTTAATCAAACTGGTGACCTAAAATGTATAAAAATATGAATCTGCTGCATAAGTTACTTCAACATGAGACTTTGAGTGAGTCAGCTGCTGATGTGACCCCATGTTGGTCTTATAACACAAAATGAGGGGTTTTATATTCACTTGCATTTAAAAACTGCTTATGGCAAATCATCTGTTACAAAGAAGAAAGTTTTCAATAAATTAAAATAAATCTATTGTGAGTAGCAGGACCTTTTTTTTTTCCTTAACATTTCTTTATTTTTGTTGTGCCCTTGTTGAGTCTGGTCAGCGCTGTGGCATTGTATAAAAAAGACCACCAGATCCACTTCAGCTGAGGGCATGCTTGTTGACCTCCCACAGTCCAAAAACTGGTGCACTGGTGACTAAAATGTCACCTGATGTGTGTGAACCAGTCTCTTCCCACCATGATCCCATTCAGATTTGTTGATACCATTCATCCTGACTGGCCTGTTTTCCTGGACTGTGTGGAATCACGGTGCGATTGGTCTCGATGTGCTTTGAGGACGTCTTGACTCTGGAACGCTTTTGTCCAAATTAGTTTGACGGCCTGAGTGTAAACCATGGTGAGCCTCGCTGTAGGACCTCCTGACCGGACTCAACACAAACAAGAGCTGATTGTTTCAACTTAAAGTCTTGATCTAAGATGGTAGCCATCTTGGACAATTTTCTCGAGCTTTTTTTTTTTTTCCCAGCTAAATCTGAACTATTGATCAGAATACCTGACATTCTAGAAGAGTATCAGGAAGTAATCACTTTCATAGTGGGTCCTCTTTATACAATAAACGCAACAATTGATATTTTCTCAAGTAAATGTATTGTAAAATATATTGAGGTTAAGTCAGGTCTCTTGTTGAAACAAGTTAACCTTGTTAGATTTATTTTTTACCTGGATTATTGAGCACGCATCAGGATATTAAAAAGCTAATGTTTTACTTCAAAATAATGAAGCTAATAAGTCAAAACAATGATTTAGTTGCTCTTACTGGATGTTGCTGCAGTTCCTCTCAGACCTGTTTCCTCTTGAAAAGTTTACTGAGTGGTCAAAAACAGAAGTTTAAACTGTTAGTGTGACAAAGTTCATGCTCAATCATCCAGGTACCAAATCCAATAATCTCAGTCGGGTCATCTGGACAGTTTATTGTGTTGTATTGGTGTGAATTTAAATGATTGTGTTGTGGCCTGTGAACGTGTTTTTAGCTGTTTTCCTGTTGGAGAGAAGGTTTTCGTTTGGTGTGACCCTTGGAGTTTGAATCTCTGCAGACATTTGGAAGTTCTGAATGCTTCTGTAAAGATCTGACATTAATTCAACCTTTATTTATACAGGTTAATCCCAATGAGCTTTGTGGACTCCTTTACAAGAGAGACCTGATTTTAACAGAGAGATGACAACAGTGGACAATAATAGACGATCATAAAGGATGCATACAACTTGGGAATAACAAGTGAAAATAACATGGTATTAAAAAAATGTAACAACGGCTAGATTATAAGGCGGTGTAGAAAAACTGATAACAGGAACATGTCTGAATTAGTTTTTCCCAGAGGTCCAGGTCAAGAACTTCAGATCTTTTTGTAAGATATTCCAGGAAACAAGAAGGGAGTAAGAGAAGGCCCTTTAGCCAAGTTCAGTCCTCACTGAGGGAACACTGCAGGTAATAATGTCCTGAGAGCGCACGCTGTAGCTGCACTCACGCAGAGATATGTATGAGATGATGTATGAAGGCAGAAGACCAAGAAGAGAAGACGTGCCTCTTGAAACTGTGCACGACCCTTTGCAAATTTGACATAAGAAAATAAATTTTAGCACCACTTCTTGGCATTTCAGTGTCACGTTGTCATTAATTTCTCACAAATTAAGCATGAATTTTTCAGGGGATTTTTTAAATTCCTATGAAGTTTCACAGAACTTCTTGTTTGTTTCCCTTTAGTAGCGGAGAAGACGGATGAGTACCTGCTGGGCAGGTTTCAGGGGGACGGTGTGAGGTACAAGGCCAAACTTATCGGCATTGACGACATTCCAGAAGCCCGTGGAGACAAGATGTGCCAGGACTCCATGATGAAACTGAAGGTACACCGTGAGACCACAAAGTTCACTGTCCAACATGTTTTAAAGTGTTCATCTGTGTGTTTTAGTGTGGGATTCATGAACATCTGCTACAGTAGGTGTATTTTTGTTTAACTGCAGGGTATGGCAGTAGCTGCTCGGACCCAAGGCAAGCACAAACAAAGAATCTGGGTCAACATTTCCATGTCTGGTTTAAAGATTATAGATGAGAGATCAGGAGTGAGTTTTGTTTCCTTCAGGGCAGTTTAGAGCCGAGACATTCAGACTGCAGCGCTTATGAAGACTTTTGTCCTCCACACTCAGGTGATCGAGCATGAGCATGTGGTGAATAAGATCTCCTTCATTGCCAGAGATGTAACAGACAACAGGGCGTTTGGATACGTGTGCGGAGCAGAAGGACAGCATCAGTTCTTTGCCATTAAGACTGCACAACAGGTAAACACAGGTGTCTGACTAACAGGTGGTCTTACAAGATGAAGTCGAGGCAGAGGTCAAGTGTGTCCAAACATTTTCATATGTGGGCCTAAACTATCAAGATGAAAAGACTCTGGGCCACAAAAATGTGAATTTAACATTAAAAGCCTCAAACACTAAGATTATATATATATATATTTTCTAATAAAAAAGATTAGATTTATTTGGTTTGTTGGGTCTGTTTGTTAAAAAAAAATAAAGAAAAAAGTGATGGGTCTACTGTGAGGTGTGATAGGTCAGTCTGCATATGTATGCATCTTAACATAACTTGAACCCCACACTCGATGCTCTTTGAATTGGGAAAGCTCCTCAGATGAGAAGCAAAACATCTTCTGTTACAAATAAAGTCCAGTTGTTTTTGTCTTGAACTGTTTTGAATTGACCATGTCCTGGACGACTGAGAATCTTCACTGTCTGTTGTTGTTTTTTTTGTCTGGAAAATTCATTTTAGTCTGTTCTCAGCAGCAAAGTGTAATTTGAGTAAGTATCCTTTAAAACTGGGTAGGTCAGCCTTTTGGACCATGGATGGACCATAGTCCAAAAAACTAATCAAATTTCTGAAAACCATCCAGCTGTCAGTCGCTATAACAGATTCATAGGTTTGATAAAGCTGATCAACTCGTATGTAGATGACGCCATGTTATATTCATTTAAATGCCCAGTTTCCCTCTTGATTGTTTTATCAAATGCAATATTTAGACGAGTTTTATGAATCATTATCCAGAAGTTTATTTTCTGGTAGAAATTAAGTTTTTGGTGTTTTGTACCATGAAGTGGAAAAAAAAGATTATAAACAAAGTCTAAAAAAAGTTAAGTCAGGTCCTCTGGACGTTCAAAAAACCAAAAAAATGTAGAAATGTTTTGTCTTTCATCTGAAAGACTTCTTCAGACTGAAGAAGTCTTTCAAGGGTTTGTATTTTATATTGCTCATTTTGAGAAGATTGTTTTTCATCTATTTTGCTGTTAAAACTAAACATTATATAAAAAAGGATTACCAACTAATTTGCAAAAAGTCTGCATTGACCTCTTAACCCTGCTGGACAAAATGATACCATCTTAAACTGCAGCTGCGGGCCGCACAAACCATACCATACCAATTTATTTATAAAGCACTTTAAACAGTGACAAAGCACACCAAAGTGCTGTACAGGGACAAACGGAACAAGCACAAAGCAAAATCACTGCAAGGGCCGCAAATGGCCCTCGGGCTGCACTTTGGACACCCGAAGCATAGAGCCTCCAATTCTTCATTTTTCTGCTCTTAATTATTTGAATACAAACTTTAAGTTCACTGTTGATTGCAAAATATTATATTTTTCCCACTAAATTAACACTCACTACAAAAAGGCAATATTGTTGCCAGTGTGCATGAGTGTTTGCTTATTTTTTTTTTTTAGCAATATACTCTGATGAATCACTGGACTGATTTAAAATGAATCTCTAAAATATTAAATGTACATCAACAACTGATTTTCTGAGTCGACCCCTTTCAAGATGGCTGCCACAGCTAAATGGCCACAGTTTTCCAGCAGATTTAGATCTTAACATTTTAGACATTCAGAGAAAATCTGCTCCAACCGTTCCTTGTTGGGGTAAGATTTTTGGTTTAAAATTCTGATGCACATTTATTCAAGAAAAGTTTGCTTCTCGTCTAGTTCTCAATTGAAACTAAATGTGAAAACTACCATTTGCTTGTGCACATGCACGCTAACACGAGCTTCGTGGTGTTGGAGCTCCTTTAGCGATGTCGGATGACGTGAAATGCTTTAGTCGTTCTTCAGCATCACATTTGTTTCTATTGTTTCAAATTGCACTCGTGCAGCAACAGTTCAATGTTCAGGTGGAGAAATGCATCTTTTTAGCATTTTTTAATTATTTAGGACTTTGTTAAACTACACTAATTAAAAAAACAATTGTAAATGTATTAGTTTTATGGGGATTCTTGTGAGGCTTAGATCTTGAATGATTTTGTCTGCCCCATCGACAACCAGTACACTTTATTTTTGTGTTAACATGCAGGCTGAGCCCTTGGTCATTGATCTGAAAGATCTTTTCCAAGTCATCTTCAATATGAGGAAAAAAGAGGCGGAGTCTTCACAGAAGGTAATGTTCCAACTTCTCTGGGTCAAGTGTTTGGTCATGACGACTTTGTGAAAGAATGAAGTGTTCTGGGAGTGCAGTTCTGTGAATCCCATCATTCACACATTCCTCTGGATCAAGTCTAGTAAAACCCAGTCATTACCAGTTTATCTTTGTTTGCAGGATGAAAACGGCGCTGCAGTGGTGGAGGTAACGTCCTGAGAGCTGCAGCTTTGAAGTCACGTTGAACTTTCTTTGACGTTTTTTATTTTTCTCTTATCAGAATGGAAATGCCTCGCAAAGCACAAGTGAAGGAAAAAGTGGTCAGGTAAGACCTTCTGCTCTTTGATTTTTATTATTAAAATGATTTTTCTGTATAATTGGTTGTTTCCTCCACATTCAGCCGGTGGAGCAGCTCGACCTGTTTGGAGACATTACAACTCCTCCAGACATCCACGCTCCAACTGTAAGTGAACTACTTCACTGAGAGATTTCCAGTGCACACTTTCTAAACGGATATGTTCAAAACTACAATACTCGTCTGTGTAAACCCTAATCTGAGTACTTTCTACTGCCGTTTAACTGGTGTGTGTACAAAACCACCTTTTTACCCAATGAGCTCAACACTTTCCAGATCATTTCATGTTGATTAAACTCAATTCTGAAAATACTTAGAAAAAAATTGTAATATAGAAATGGTTTAGCTCAGGGCTGTTCAGCTGGCGGCGGGTGACTTCAATCTGACCCACTTAATAAAAAAATAAATAAAATAAATAAAAAAAAGGGGGGGGGGTCTTGGGTTTGGGTTCTGTTCTTTGCATTTATGATTCAGTGCAATAAAATAAACACATTTAAAAGGTAACAAACGAGTCATTGTAAAACTTGGTTTATTTACATAATGATTAGCTTTGTAGAGATCTAGTAGAGAGCTGTAAGAATGAGTAAATGAGGCACAGATTGTAGTGTAAAGCGCTTTGAATATCTCAATAAGATAGAAAGGTGCTATATAAGTACAGTCCATTTATCACGTGTCTGTCATGTACCATTGGGCACTTTTAAGTGGGTATTCTGAGATTCTTCAGCTTTTCTAGTCTGTATACTCTGCATACCCACGTATCACATACACCACACCACTGAGCAGGACCACAACTGGAGTTCCAGCATTACACAGCCTAAAGTTTTTACCGACATTAATGCCACTTTGTCCCTTCTGGAATTCTGCAGTAATTTAATGCTGCTGAAAGCTACGACAACAAAATTGACAAATATTGGGTTAAAGTTTAACGTGGTGATATCTGAGCGTCATCCACAAACAAGGAGACTGTATAAACAGTTTTACAAAAATTTAATGTTGCATTATTTCCATAAAGAAATGATTTGCAAATGCACTTAAACTATTCCTTGAAGGTATTTTTATCATTTGCTGCTCTTACGCCCGTTTTTAAACTAGCTCTGGCAGCCATTTTGAATTTGGTTGATGCCACAAGTTTATTGTTGGTGCTCATTAAAGAATCACTTTCAATTAGTTTCATTAGAATCCACTGACTGGTTGAGATATTTTGTTAACACACTCAAACACATTAGCAGAAACATCACCACCTTTTTGGTGGTGTGATATAAAGTGACAAAGGCAGCAGCAGCAGCTAGCTATAGCACTTTCTGTGGGAATATCAATATTTCTGCAGAATTAACAGTCATGCAAACTTTCAACAGTGAAATGGTTTAATAAAAGACATCACATACAATGTTTGGAGACTTGATACACTTTGATCTTAGTTGTTTTGGGGAAAGCTCATCAGTCTCGTCGGGCATAAACTCTTTTTGTCCAAACTGTGGTCGTTCTTAAAGCAACATTTTACAGTAAATCCTGCTTCACTGTGGCTGAATCTTTCTGTATTAAATTTTTTCAGAATTGAGTTTTTGTCTCATTGTCTTGTCCTAAAGCTGCTACAAGTTGAATTTTGTGCACCCTGAAGTTATGGATGTTTATACTTTATAAACTTTCACATCACTTCTACTCGATGTGTTCTTTAATCTTGCTGTTCAAAGCTCCTGGAACATTTTGGATGAAGCCTGATGATCCACGTCACCATGCTCTGAATATTTTGGTGCACATTTTCCACTGTAGCAGCTTAAAACAAAAAACACTTTTAAATTTTTAACATCTGTTTGTTTTTCCTGCAGAATCGATTCATAAATCTTGTTTTCTGTCTCACTGTCCCCCCACCCCCTTCATCCTAACCAGGACCGTAATGAAATTCTCTTGCTGGACTTCTCTGCTGAAGTTGACAGCAATCAAAACATCATAAAGGATAACTTCTTTCTAACTTCTTGTGCTCCTGACATTAAGGTGTCATCCCACAAAGAAACTTCCTTTTCCTCCACTTTTGGGTATTTCCCAGCTCCAGACAGTAACCCGTTCAGAGATGACTCTATTTCTAAATCGCCCACTAGTTTTGAACCAGACATCGCCCACCCCTCCCTCCCTGACACGTTAAGCACTCCTGGCAGCACCAAAAGGACTGGTTTTAATGGAAACTCTGAACATCCTAGTCAGCAGATCACTGGGTTATCCAGTGAATCCATGATAGTTGCGCTCAGTAATGGGCAGTGGCCACTAGGTGGCAGTATAACTCAGGGCACAGCAATAAGCATGATGGACGGAAATGAAGGTCATCAAGCTGTCACGACAAAAAACCCTTTTTTTGACTTCTCTGTAAATGCCTCCCCCATCTCTAACGACATAAGTAGTCATCCAGAACCGACGACTCCTAGCAAGGACTCTGTTGTCATAAGTCCGCCTCCACAGTCTGGACGGGGTCGAAGGAGTGCAAAGGTGATGCCGCACAACCAGCTGTTAGTGGTGTTGCATGAAAAATGGTTTTACAACATATTTGGCTTTAATTTCTCTTTTTTGCGGGGGGATTCATTGGTGGTCTGAGTGCACATGCTGTCCAGGGCTTCCTTTTTCCAGCTGCACATCAGGTGCAGGTGTTCTGATATGTTCTGTCTTCGTTTCACTGGTGATTAAAGCTGTTTCTGCTTGAATAAGTGGTGTGTTTGCTGTGCTGCTGAGATACGGCCATTCTTTCTTATCTGTCCTCATATTCTCCTAACATTCATGCTTCAGTGATAAAAGCACGGGTAAGTGGCAAGGCATGCTCATGTAACCATGTTCAGGTAAATGAGCTTTAGGAGAGCATGCCAAATATTAATAAATAAGTCAGCTTTTAAAAAATTTATATTGTTAGTACGATGCATCAATTTAATTAATTTTTCTGTGATCAGTCTGCATCCAGTGACCTGTTTGGAGCGGAACTGTTTACCACTCCAACTCCTGAGGGGTCCTCTGCTCCAGCTGAGCTCTTCAACAACACACCTGCAAGCTCTGCTCTCTCCTCCATAGCTGCTCTGGGTAATGTGCACAAGCATCGAAGCACTTATTCTGTTCACGTTTGTCCTGCAGCAATAAAATAAAACGTGCAACTCCTGCACCAAAACATGTGGCACAGTTTGACGATGGTGTACCATGACTTTTAGTAGTGGTGCACAATTTCAACCAAATTAAAAAAAATCAAATAAATTGGCAAATGAAGCATAAATGGTATTTTAGTGAAACACTTGAGAAAAGCTAGCTTATACGTCATGCAGACTTCACAGTAGAAACGGTTTAAATTGGTCATTGATATTTGGAACTTCTTTAGATAAAAGAAAAAATAAACCTCAAGATATCTGTTCAGTCACTCATTGTTTTTTAATTCTTTTTATGTATTTTACAGATATTTACATGAACCATTTAACAGTCACCATAGCAGTCTGAAATAAAGTATTTAACTAAAATATTTTTGGTACATGAGTTAAACAGCTTTATTAAAATATGCAGATGGCATACTCTAGCTTATATACTTAAATTTTAGCTCACTCAAACTAAACTCTACTTTCCCATCTCCTGCATAAAACTCAGTAGAAACATTAAAATTCACAAGTGACCATCTTCTGCTGCTCATGGTTCAAGAATTTTGCCTCCATCTCTTGGCAGTCAGGGAGTGAGACGTGTGGTTGTCATGGTGACCACCAGCAGCAGCTTTAACATTTTTCATCTTGGTTCTCTCGACCCTTTGAACAGTTCATACAACAAGTTATTTTATTTTAGATCATTGCAAAGTCCTGTTGGAAAGTTGAATAGCTGCAATAATACAATATTTTTTTTTTGTGTAGTTTTTAAAGTTTGGTTTAATTTTAACTTGATATTTTGTTTCCAATCAATTCAGGAAATCTTTCGTTGCATGCACCAGCCACCACCACTGTTCCTGCTTTAGGCATGTGGGGTGCCCCCAGTGCTGCACCCACCATGTTCCCCATGCCGGGTGTGCCCGCTCCGGGCCCCTTCCTACAGCCGCCTGCTTTTGGTGTTCAGATGCAGCCCCCAGCCTGGGGCCAGCAGATGCCACCACAGTTTGTTGCTCCTCCTCTGTCTCCACCTCACCTCTCATGGGGTCAGCCCGCTCCATCCAATCCCTTCCAACCTGGCCCATTCCCAGTCATGGGAGACCAGCATGGTCCGTCCCGCCCCCCTCCAAGGCCACCTGTGGAGGCCCCTCCAAAAGTGGAGAATAGTGCCTTCACAGCTTTGGATCCTCTCGGAGGAAAGGAGAAGAAAAGTGGAAAGAACATGTTCAAAGACTTCCAGATCGCCAAACCTCCTGCTATCCCAGCAAGGAAAGGAGAGCTGACCCCCAGCTCTGCTCCACCCCCCAGTGACAAAGAGTCGGGGGCGTTTGATCAGTACTTCTCCAGTAAAGTGGGCGTGGCTCAGGATGCTGCAGATCACGATGACTTCGATATCAATCAGATGTCAGCACTTGCTGTTAATGGTACACCTCGGACTTACTGACTGTTGTACGGTTCTGTAGGAGACCTGCTTCTGACTGTGTTGTGTTCTGTTGTAGATGCCCCCACACCTTCTCCAGCACCAGCTGCTACCCCAGCTCCAAGCTTTACACCTGACCTTCTAGATGCTGTGTTTTCTTCTGCTCCAAATGCCATCAGTCCGGCTCCGGCACCAGCGCAGGGGCCAGACATGTTTGATCAAGCATTTGGGGCCCCAGATTCCAATCCATTTGGAGCTCCACCTGTAGCTAAGGTCAAATATGCACGGACACATTGTCCTAAAATGATTTGAACGTGTTACTCTTGTGTATTAATATCTAACTCTGGTGACTGACCTTTTAATTTAAAAAATATATGCATTTCTCCCATGTAGCAAAGCAGCTCTGCTGCTCAGCCGTTTGGCTCAACAAATGCTTTTGGAGATGCTTTTGGAAATCCATTTGCTTGACCACAAGATTTTTCCACAAGTAAGTAGCTGTTTTTTTTTTTTTTAATGTATATAATTTTTAATGAAGGTCACAGTTGGGACTATATTTTTTTAATTGATATTTATCCTTGCAGTGGAAATGGAGTGAAGATCTCTACTTAAACACACCTTTGGGACAAGCTGCTCTGTGCACGACAATCCAGATGATGAACTCTTCTTATTCTTGTCCCTAAACCTTTTTACACCTTTTGGTTTTGATACTCGTTTGTTGACAAATGATCCACAATGTAAATGATGTGAAGATCTGCCTAATGAATGTGCTTTGTGAAAAATGTTAAGTTCATTGCTAATGCTGTCTTTGTTAAAGAAATAAATCGGTAATAATGCAACAGTGTGTAAATTACAACTTCACAGTTTATGAATCAACAGTTCTCATCCAACGATGACTTTATTGTGCTGGTGTAGATCCAGGAAATCATAAATTCAAAAAGTTTAACCCAAAACGAGACTTCAGTGGCTGCAAAGCCAAATGTTTTCAGCCACAGAATAGGTCTGTTTTTTTTTTTTTTTTTCCATTTTTGGGATTCCTTTTAAATAGTTTTACTAAACTCAGTGCAGTAGTTCCTGAACCTTCGACAACATAAAACTGTATATGCGTGCACACAGTGAGCGGTTGCTAAAGAGCATTACTGAAAGAAATGCAGAGCACTTGTCTTTCATGTCGGGGTTTGTGAATAACATTATCTTATATTGGGAAAGGATGAGTTTTAACTATATTAGTCAAATCTTGAAAATGATCTCAACATCTGACATTGCTCTAATGACATTTTAATCATTCTCTCTAATCCCACTTTAGCTCTGTAAAAATACCCAAGTTGTAACCATTTGTTTGACATCTCATTCACTTGTAGATGTGCCTCCAATGGCTACTTTGTGAAAATTTTAAATTCATCCTGCGATTCATAAGATTTTGCAAACTAACACTTATAAACACACGGGGTGGGGGGAGGTGGAATATGTTGGCACCATTTTGCCTTTAATGGTATTTGATAACTCTTGTGTTCTGTTTTTTGGTGTCAGCCGTTGAGAAACTTCCCATTTCTATTTATAACCAGAAGAGCTTGAAGGCTCTACCAGCTGCCACACATTAAGAAACCAACAATTCTGCAATGTGATGCCTGCTGTTTATGCACTGACAGAATCTTCCTGTTGATTGGTTAAAGATCAGTTGTAGGTTTTGAGACCAGTGGCCTCATATTTTCACACAAAATGTTATCGTGTTAAAGCTCCTCGTCATCATTTTAACAATGTTCCTCTTCAAACAGAAGCTCAAGTGAACCAACACATCTCCTCTTCTACTAACATCATTGTTGGATCAAATCACAGGTACTTTATAGGAAAATGACAACAAAAAAAACTTCCATTGTACAGTTTGAGATTTGATGATTGCCGGTCCATTTTGGTTGACATGAAAAAGGAGAGGAAAAGGGGAGGAGGGAAAAAAAAGAAAAGGAAAAGGCAAAAGTACAAAACAAAGTGTACACCCACCCCCACCCCCCAAAAAATACATTTCCAAGGTCCAAAAGAAATGTAGTAAACAGCATGGCAGAATACAATGGTGCAAATAAGATGAACCAGTACAAATAAGTATTTCACTGGTAACATTACTGCACATGATGCATATTGCACACAACATGCACCACACAAGCTGTGTGACAGCTCACTGCACAGGTAATGAGCAACATTGAGATGAATTGAACCGTGATGGTAAGGTAGTGACATGCATGATAGTGCAGCAGCAATAAACACATTAGGTGTTACAGATGTGATTCAGTTCTGTCCAGCTGGTAGACGGAGAAGTCATCCTGAGCAACAGCACAGTTGGGGATGGACGACTAGCCATGTTTCTGCAATGGCAAAGACACAACAGCTCCTTGTGTCTCACTAGCAATAAATCCATTGTGCACAGGCCATCCAGTCTATTCCACAGAGTGAAAGCCCACAAGCAAGATTGAGGGGTTTGCTGGGTCTCTGGTAGGTCCTGCACAAACACTGGCTCACTTCCCCCTCTGTTTTCCTTTTACTAGAACTGCCTTCTTCCATCTGCGTAATATCGCTAAAATTTGAAACATCTTATCTGAAAATGATGCAGAAAAACTGGTCCATGCATTTGTCACATCTAGACTGGACTATTGCAATGGTTTATTATCTGGGTGTCCAAATACTTCCTTAAAACGTCTTCAGTTGATCCAAAATGCTGCTGCCAGAGTCTTAACCAGAGTTAGTAGGAGAGATCATATTTCTCCAGTTTTAGCTTCTCTCCATTGGCTCCCTGTCAAATCCAGAATAGAATTCAAAATCTTACTTCTAACCTACAAAGCTCTCAACAACCTGGCTCCATCTTATATTACAGATCTTATTGTTCCATATTTTCCTAACAGAGCACTTCACTCTCAGACTGCAGGTTTATTTGTGGTTCCTAGAATTTACAAAAACAGAATGGGAGGCAGATCTTTCAGTTATCAGGCTCCTCTCTTGTGGAACCAACTTCCAATCTCTGTCCGTGAGGCTGACACATTATCCAGTTTTAAAACTAGGCTTAAGACTTTCTTTTTTGCTAAATCCTATAGTTGGGGTCGGCTTGGGTTTCCTGAGCTGTCCCTTAGTTATGCTGCTATAGGCTTAGACTGCTGGAGGACAAACTGACCACAATTTTAACTCTGCTGCTGTCTTTACTTACTCTGCTCAACCGGTTTTGTATTTGTAATTATTTTTCTATTCTTAACGTGTTTTTTTTTTTTTTTTTTGTCTTTCAGATATGTACCTGGACCTACCATTCTGTGTTCGTCTGTCTCTTCTTCCTGTCCTCTCAAAACAGCCGGTCAAAGCAGATGGCCGCTTGTCCTGAGCCTGGTTCTGCTGGAGGTTTCTTCCTTTTAAAAGGAAGTTTTTCCTTTCCACTGTTGCCACTGTGCTTGCTCAGGATGGGAGACTGCAACGAAGCAAAAATTCAACTTGTCTGCTGCATCCTTAGATAGAGAACTTTACTAATTGGCTTTTATGTATGTGAATGTTCCTGTAAAGTGCCCTGAGACAACTTTATTGTGATTTGGCGCTATATAAATAAACTGAATTGAATTTTTCTGTGCCCAAGTAAACAAAGAACTGACCCAGGGGAAACCACCATCTACCATGGAAATCATCCATCATTAAACAGAGGTGGAGGCCTACATGTTCAACTGTCCCCCTCTTACAATGCTGTTATTGCTAGTGTCACTCAGTCCCCTGTGAACAGTAAACAGCCATCAGTGTGCTAATGATCCATCGTTAGGCTGATGGTCCTCCTTGAGCATGTGATCAGCTGGTTTTGGTTGTCAGCAGCAAACTGGTTGATCTACTCTGAGGAGGTGCTATTTATAAGACTGAGCTGAACACAGCACCTCAGACTGAGGAAGTATTTCGGATGAAAGACGAAACGTTTCTACATTTTTTAATGTTTTGCTTTGTTTTGTTTTTAGAATGTCCAGATGACCAGACTTGACTTTTTAGATTTTTCTACCTGGATTATTGAGCATGCATCAGGGCGTCTACCATGGAGTCCCCAAAAGTCAGCCCAAAGTCAGTCACTGACGATCGCAACTCCAAAAGTGCATTACGGTCAGACCCGTTGAGTGGGAAGGTATGCAGGTGCAAAAAGTCAAAACAAAAACGAGAAGGAACAAAAAAAAAGGCGTTGAAGCGGAGCTTTCATCAGTGCTGCCATACTGTAGTGCACGTGACATGTTCTCCGCACTTGACATGTATGCCTGTAGGAGAAAACCAGAGGACCTGGAGAAAAAACACATGTGCATGTAGAAAACATGCTAACTCCACCCAGAATGGCCCCCAGCCAGGATTTGACTTGGCGACTTTCTCGTTGAGCGGCAACAGCTCTACCAACTGTGCCACTAAGATTAGCTGTTGATTAAGATAGCTGCTAAATGAGGTTCTGCTGTTCATGGGGTGGACTGACTTTGCAGGCATTTTTTCCATTTTGGCTGTTCTTGTTTAGTAAATAATGACATGGTGGGATCCATCCATCCATCCATTTTCTTCCTTAGAGATGGGGTGAGAAGCTTGATCATCCGGGTGAGAAGCTCGGTCATCCGGGAGAAATTCAAAGTAGAGCCGCTGCTTCTCCACGGCAAGAGGAGCCAGTTGAGGTGGCTTGGGCATCTGGTTAGGATGCCTCCTGGACGCCTCCCTGGTGAGGTGTTCTGGACATGTCCCACCGGGAGGAGACCCAGAGGAAGACCCAGGACACGCTAGAGGGACTATGTTTCTCTGCTGACCTGAGAATACGGGATTCCCCCGAAGGAGCTGGCCCAAGTGACTGGGGAGAGTGAAGCCTGGGCCCCCCTACTTAAGCTGCTATGCCCACGACCCGACCCCGGATAAGAGGTAGAGCCCAGACACCTTGTATCCATGACCTCATTTTTTCGGTCACTACCCAAAGCTCATGACCATAGATGAGGGTAGGAACGTAGACTGACCGGTAAATTGAGAGCTTCGCCTTTTGACTCAGCTCTCACCATGACAGACCAGTACAGCGCCTGCTTCACTGCAGACGCCGCACCTATCCGCCTATCGATTTCTTGCTCCATTTTTCTCTCATTCATGAACAAGACCCTGAGATACTTAAACTTCTCCACTTGGGGCAGGACCTCCTCTCCCACTCAGAGGGAACTCTACCCTTTTCTGGCTCAAGATCATGCCTACCATGGTGGAATATAATGGACATTTTCAAAGACAAGGTTGAATGTGAATAATTGCATAACCAGATCAGTTTTATATCTTTGTATGTAAAATCCCAAGAGGATGAACTTTCTTTAATTCCCACTAAACATCTCTGTGGTGCTGGATGATGAAATAAGCTGAACTTGAAAAGCTTTTAAAAACTCTTTTGTAACACTGAAATTATTTTACTTTGGACTAAATCAAATCTGACTTTAGATTAGCTTGGTTATGTCATTTTTTAGGACTTCCAAGGACATTCAAACTGTTGTTCAATCTGGGCAAGCAGAGGCCTATTTGAGAAAACCAATACAACCAATACAGCAGCAAAAACCTGCAAAACCTCTTTGTTCATGCCAAACTTTAAAGGTTCTGATAAATGTCCTGCTGTTCTCCATAAATGTCCAAAGTCTGTTCAGAAACCGACTGCGCTAAGTTCACATAATCATGTTCATCACTGCTGCTTTCTTCGTCACCTGAGTCTTCCTCTCTATGGTCATCCACACTAACAGAAGGCTTCATGTAGTCGTCATCATCCTCTGGGTACTCATAATCATGTTCATCTTCATCCTCTGGTTCCTCATAATCATGTTCATCATCCTCTTCCTC